ATCAGGCCAAAGGCCCATCCAGTCCAACACTCTGTGTCACACAGTGGCCAGAAATACCAGTGCCATCAGGAGGTCCACCAGTGGGGCCAGGACATTAGAAGCCCTCCCACTGTTGACCCCCCCCCAAGCACCAAGATGACAGAGCATCACTTGCCCCAGAGTCCCTATCTATACCTTGTGGCTAATAGCCACTGATGGACCTCTGCTCCATATGCTTATCTAATTCCCTTTTGAAGCCGTCCATGCTTGTAGCTGCCACCACTTCCTGTGGCAGTGAATTCCAAGTGTTAATCACTCTTTGGGTGAAGAAGTACTTCCTTTTATCCGTTCTAACCCGACCGCTCAGCAATTTCATGGAGTGCCCACGGGTTCTTGTATTGTGAGAAAGGGAGAAAAGTACCTCTTTCTTTACCTGCTCTTTCCCATGCATAATCTTATAAACCTCGATCATGTCACCCCTCAGTCGTCTTTTCTCCAAGCTAAAGAGCCCTAAGCGCTTTAACCTTTCCTCATAGGGAAAGTGTTCCAACCCTTTTATCATTCGAGTTGCCCTTTTCTGCACTTTTTCCAAAGCTATAATATCCTTTTTAAGGTGTGGTGACCAGAATTGCACACAGTATTCCAAATGAGGTCACACCATTGATTTATATAGGGGCATTATGATATTGGCTGATCTGTTTTCAATACCCTTCCTAATAATCCCCAGCATAGCATTGGCCTTCTTTATTGCAGTCACACACTGTCTCGACATTTTCAGTGAGTTATCTACTACAACTCCAAGATCTCTCTCTTGATCTGTCTCTGCCAGTTCAGACCCCATCAATGTGTATTTATATTTAGGATTTTTGGCTCCAATGTGCATCACCTTGCACTTGGCCACATTGAACCCCATTTGCCATGTTGACGCCCACTTGCCCATCTTTGACAGATCCCTTTGGAGTGCCTCACAATCCTCACTGGTTTTCACCACCCTGAACAACTTTGTATCATCCGCAAATTTAGCCACTTCACTGCTTACTCCCAACTCCAAATCATTAATGAACAAGTTAAAAAGCAGTGGACCAAGTACTGATCCCTGCGGTACCCCACTGCTTACCCTCCTCCACTGAGAGAACTGCCCATTTATACTCACTCTCTGTTTTCTATTAATTAGTCAAACTTCCAGAACTTCTCATGAAGTTAGCTGCTGCTGGGTTGTGCACATTTTGTTTCAACACATGTAAAAGTTTATTGTCTTGTTTTAAAGATAATGGTTAGTATTCTCTCCATTTTCATAGCACAGCAAGAAGTTCATCAAAGGATTGTTAAATTAAGGCTTGGATTACAAGTGGCAGGTGGATTACAATCTAAAAATTTGAGGAGGAGGTACAAGTCATACCCATGCTGGTGATGCTGTAAAATATCTGTAATGACTCAGCAAAGAACTTGTGGTGGGGTGAAACCTAGCTGAAGTCTTCAGCTCATAGCACTCAAAAACAGAAAAGTAAAAAAACTATTGAAGACTGAAAATGAAAGCAAGTGTCAGTTTAAAATGCTCTAAAGGGCCATGGATGAGGCATTGGAGTATCTTTTCTTAACTAGTCTTCCTCTTTAGGACGGAGGAAAAAGCAGCTGTGTTAGGACAGGATGGAAGTTACAGAATTCTGTCTTGTAAACAGATTTCTTTCCCAGCATTAGATCTCGGGTTCATCCAGTTAAATACCATTTAGAGTTGACAAAAGTTAGTACTTTGCATAATTCTGTAAACTCATGTTAGCGATTCATTACCATGTGATGTTGAAGCACATTAGTATAGGTGGATTTTAAAGTGAATGGGCAAATGTGTGGGAGGAGAGAGATCTCTGCCACATAAGCAGAAATAAAACAATTGTGCTATCAGTCTGAAATTTGGCAAACCACTTGTTAACTTTTTTCACATCTGTTTGTCTGGTTTCAGTCCGTAGACAGGAAGACCACAGCAGATTGACAGTCTTTATTTTCTTGCAGTTATGCATTATTTTACATTGGATGTATATGGATAGTCAGTTTGTGGATGAACTGGTAATTTGCAAGCACAAAAACAAAGTTACGCGGAAAATAATGTTTATTTACATTCTTTTAAACAGACAACATTTATTTCCTCCAATATAGTAAGAATGCCAAGTGATCTGCCTAGAATAGTGACATAAAAACAATTCAGAGGTTTGATGGACTGGGTCATCTCTGCCATATTATTTCTGTCCTATCTAGCATAGTGGATGAGACAATCTTAAATGCATGTCTTGTATGTTGTTTCAACAGTCTTTAGAAAACTCTACATGATGGTGAGTATTGTCCACATATACTAGAAGGGTTACTAATTGTATAATCCTTTACGAAGTTACTCCAGACGAAGTCCATTGCAGTCGACTGATTTTGACTGGATGAATTATGCATAGGAGTGCACAGAAAGGCTGTCGCTAGTGAGCTGGAAGCAGAGGCGAAATTTTAAACAAGATTCCTGCGTCACAACTTGGTCTGTCTAAGCCATTAGCTCCTAATCTTAATAAAAATTGTGAATCTCTTCAAGCAAGCAGAATTATATTTTATAGATAATATAAAAATTAAGTTTTACTGAAAGAGTTTGTTGTAAATTACTACTTAAAGGTAGTCAAATAAGAGATTAAGCCCTTGATTAATATCCTTGTTTCTTGAAAAACTGGGCTCTGGTAGCAACATCATTGGCATAATCATTCCCTGTTGTGCCAATATCCATTCTGTCATAGGTTTGGATATTACGAAGTCCTGCATTATAGGCTGAAATTCCACCTAGAAATACAGTAAAACAAAAAACTGTATTGAAAGTATTTTTTAATACCACCACCGCGTTGCCATTTTTGGCGATGTGAACTGGCCTTGGGAATGGAGAACAGACAGAGTGCAGACTGATCAAGAAGAGACAGTAGTGCCTTCTGAAACATTGCATCGGAGTCCCCGTCTTGGATGATACATTGTTGTGAGCACCGATTTTAAATGTAAAATGTAATTTGATTGTTTTACCTGGTTTTATTGTTATGTATGGCATTTGCCTCTTGTTAGCCGCCCTGAGCCCATGTGGAAGGGCGGGATATAAGTCTAATAAATAAATATACATATCCTAGGAGCTGCGGTGGCTCAAGTGGTTAAGACGCTGAACTGCAGGCTGTGGGAGGTCAGTAGTTCAGCAGTTCGAGACCCAGGTGCCGCAAGACAGAGTGAGCTCCCGTCTCTAGTTCCAGCTCCTGCCAACCTAGCGGTTCGAAAGCAAGAAATTGCAAGTAGATAAATAGGTTCCGCTTCGGTGGGAAGGTAACAGCGTTCCGTGCGCCTTGGTGCTTAGTCATGCCGACCACATGACCATGGAAACATCTTCGCACAGCGCTGGCTCTTTGGCTTTGAAACGGAGATGAGCACCGCAACCCTAGAGTCGGATTCGACTGGCTTTCGAGCAAGGGAACCTTTACCTTTATACATATCCTATTTGTTTAATAAAAGTAATTTGAATTAATAGATTAATCAACCATCTGAACACTTCTACTTCTGAGAAATGGAGATAGTTAAGCAGTACAATCAGAACACAGAAGGCCCATTTTAAAGGTGGTGTTTTGCACTATACATTGCATCAAACTGTGTAGATTTCTGCTCATACAATTAAGCTTTATCATACCTGCCTTCCTGCTGCAGCCACATGTACCCTCCACCCAACTGGTGGATCCTCCTTGACAGTCTGGGATGTGGCCCAGGGAAAGTAAGCAAGGGCCTGAGGATCCTTGTAAACCCCAAGTTACTTTGGAGCTTGTAATTTCATACCTTTGAGCTGCTGTTCCTTGGTCCACTGTGGAAACTTCTTAGCAACACCGTCTATCATGTCCCGTAGAATGTTGGCACCCTGAGTAATATGTGCCTCACTATCCCACGTGCCTTCTATTTTATGGTATCTTTTATCAACCTAGAAGAAACATTAACACATTTCACTACTATTGCAAAGGTTATTATTTTATACCAGGCTATCAGTGTACATCACTTTATCAAGTGATAAAAAATACAAGTTTCTGATGAGAGGAGATTACAAAGATTGAAGATTAGGAGATTACAAAGAGAACCAAGTGAAGCAAGGTAATAAGTGAAGAATGTGAACTTGCATTTACATCAAGTTTTGACTTGATTTGGGATAATTTGTCCCTTAAAATTACAGAGTATAGGACCATTATTTGGAATAGGTGAGTAGTGGGCCTCATGGTCTACATTCTTTTCCTCTTATTTAAAGTCTTTACCTGCATCAAGCCAAATCCGTTTCCATGGTCACCCCAGCCATTGTCCAGGATGGTTCCAGCATGAGATTCTCGAGATACTATACCTGCGATCACAGCTCCATCAATGCCTGTTCTTTCACTGACATGCTTAATTATTGTTTTGTACTTCTCCATATGTTTTAAGTCTTTGGCTGCAATCGTTTCTGAAGCTTGGACTCCTGGTGCAAAAAGTAATATTTTAAACATCCATTTAAATTGCGTATAAAGTGACCTTTCAAGCCCAAATCAAGCTTTAGATATCCATAAAGAACTAGCTTTCCCAAAGCGAGGGAGTACATCCTAGTCAAGACAGATGGTAATGTGGGACTTGGGTGAATACTGAAGAAACATCAACAATGGCTGTCCACATGGAAGTCTGTTTCTGCAGCTGGTCCTGTCTTACTGCATTGATAACCCTCAAAGGAGGAACATTAGCAGAAGGCTGTCTGAAGAATGTAGTTGGTGTGTGTGGGACTATAGTGGGAGATATATGTATGAGGGCCCCGGCCTCTAAAGTGCCTTCAAGGTAATAACTAATGCTTTGAGTTAGACATTTAATTGAACAAAGGTGCTCCTAGCAACAGCACTGACCCCTTTTCCATTGACGATTGTTGCAATCTTAACCTTCATCTAATACAGAGAGCTTGACCCCATCTAAGGCTGGAAACTTGGTAATAGCTAAACAATCTGCCTTTCCCATCAGCATCACATCCATCTTGTCTGGATTAAGCTTCAGTTTGTTTTCCCTCATCCACTTGGCTACAGCCTCAAGACAATGGCCCAGGTCTTTCACAGCTGCTTCTGGTGACTTAGATAATGAGTTCTAAAGTTGGACACCACCTGCATATTGGTGACATCCCACTCTGAAGCTCCTGATGATCTCAACCAAAGGTTTTACACACAGGTTAAAGACCACTAGGGAGAAAATGGACCTTTGGGACCACTACATCCAGTAGTTCCTAACTAGCGGATTCTGCCTCTCTTAAGAACTCTTTGTTTTCTTGTCAACAAGGGGAAAAAAAGAATAAAGAAGAGAAGAGATTGGATTTATACCCTGCCCTTCACTACTCAAAGGAGTCTCAGAGCGTCTTACAAACTCCTTTCCCTTCCCCTCCCCACAACGGACACCCTGTGAGATAGGTGGGGCTGAGAGAGCTCTTGACAGAAACTGCTCTTTTTCAAGAACAGCTCTTATCAGAACTATGGCTTGCCCAAGGTCATCCAGCCAGGTGCAGGTGGAGGAGTGGGGAATCAAACCCAGTTCTCCCAGATTAGAGTCCGCGCACTTAACCACTACACCAAACTGGCTCTGAAACCAGCAGAGGGTTGTTATTTTTAACCCGAACATTGATTGTAATTAATAAGGTGGTATTGGTTATTAGACTACACTCTGGTATCCACAACAAGCAGGTGGTTCCCTGTATAGCTGCAGCTGTTAAGTTTCTGTGAAGTAAGTAATCGTGTTCTTGATAAACTGAATTATGTAAAAATGGTTCGGTTTCTCCTTTCACTGATATTTCCCCACAATTTGAATTACTTGTTAGTGTTTTCCCAACTGTAATATTTTTTCAGACCGAGTGTGGAAGTAGGCATTGGCTTATATCCGAGTCTCCTGTTCTGTTTGCAGAAGACAGTTCTGCCTGCAGAATGGGGGCGCTTTCAGTAATTCCTCTACACACATACATCCTTCCACTGAGCCACCTGACCCACAATGAGCTGTTACTGGGGGTTCCACTGGATTTTGGGGACACAGAAGGCTGCTGTGGGCAGTAGCAGGTGGTAAGTTCCCCTTCATTTAGTGCAGTGCCATGTGTGCTAGATATGATTCACCCTCAACTCTATAGACAACTGTAAGGCCATAAATCAGCGATAGACAACTTACCACCATAATTCAGGCCTTCTGCTCTTGCAACCCCAAGAGAAGCCCCAGTAGTTTCAACATTCATTATGTTGCCATAACAAGACCCTGCCAGGAATAAGTTCAATTATTTTATTTATCGATCTTGCTTTTTCAATAAAAGCACAACAGAGAAAACAAACACCCCCATACATTAAACATAACAATTAAGAAAACAAACGAGGAAGTGGGCTGCCACTAGTGACATGGAGGGAAGCTCTTCCAGCAATCTGTGGCTGGCAGGTCATTGAGCAAAGGTGTTGCTAGTCAGCCTCCGCTGGGATGAGACCACCAGAGGCTGTACCAGATTCACTTTCCACAACTGTGGGGCCTCAGATGGGGAGTGAAGAGGGCCGAATCTTCAACTGGGTCCACCTTCTCCTGTGAGGGCTTTCCCACCCTTCTCTTGGAGCCTGAGCTAGCTTCATGGAAAGAGCAGTACCCCAACCACATCCTTCTTGGTTCTGAGCTGGAGCTATTTAAGCTTCTCACAGTGCCTGCAAGTCTCTCCCCTTTCATCTGCTTTGTGGGCAGGGCCAGCTCACCCGCTTGGTGAACTAGGCATTCGCCTAGAGTGCCGGGCCCTGGATGGGGTGGGCGGCAGGCCCTGGATGGGGCGCCGAAGTTCGCCCCCCCAAAAAAGCCCGCGTACCGCCAAAGTGCACCACCGAAGCACGCTGCCATTCGCCTCCCCTGCTCCGCTGCTGAAGCAGCCGTGTCCCCAGCTAGCCAGCCCCACATCCCCGAGCGCCGCCGGCTGCCACAGCAGCTTCCCTACAGCCGGGCAGGGGAAAGGCCGTCTGGCCCTTCTGGGCGACTTATCTGCGGCGGGGTGGTTGTGGCTGCGGCGGGTCAGGGCTGGAGGAGGAGGCTGCCACTGCTGGGAGCCCCCCAGCAGCAGCAGCGGTGAAGACAGGAAGGCGGTGAAGGTAGGCAGGAAGGAGAAAACAAGCGCCCAGCCCAGCAAGGCCAGTGAGTGCGGTGGCGGTGGCAGCGGAGGGAGGGAGGGCATGGGCGTGCGAGGACGGACCCCCTGGGAGACCCCCTTCTCCAATCCCCCCTGTCCAACATGGCGCCAACATGGCCGGAGGCGCAGAGGAGATGCGGCATCCCCCTTGCCTCCTGCACAGCCCCCCTCCCATGCGCGCCATACGCTGGCATCCGAGCCGGGGGGGAGGAGAAAAAGGTGTTACAGCGGGAGGAAGGCGCGAGGAGGGGCTCAGCGCTACTGCAACTCGTGCTGCTGCAACTTTCGGGAAGCTTTGTTTCCCTCCCCCCCCACATGTTTTGAGGCCCCACCGGGAGGTTGGCATCTGCGCCTTGCCTAGGGCGCAGAAACACCTCGGGCCAGCCCTGTTTGTGGGGAGCCAACCAATGTCAGGTTTTGCCTCCCATCCCTGGGAAAAGCTAAGGAATGGTCTGTGTCCCCTTGTGGCCAACTTTTCCTTCCCCTCTTTCATGGCCTGACCCCAGCAGAGTGCCATGGGGCTTTGGAGGCATGGCTTTGTTTTCTGGTCTCTCAGGTCTTGAAGCCACACCCACTTCTGCAGCCCTCTGGAAGTATGGCCCTGCACTTTCAGTGACCACAGCAACACTTGCCTCTGGATCCATATGTCCCCTTCCCATCCCCACAGAGGGGCTGTGTACCCAACCCTCCTGCCCCACTTTTGCAGTGGTTGCAGAACCGGTGTCAGAGCCCCCATCCAGCTTCAACTCCGGGAGAAGCAACAAACTACATTCTGATCTTGGACTGGTCCTGGATTCAGAGGCTGGCTCATTTGAAGGCACAAGCTGGGGGACAAGCCAAGAGGCGTTTGGCTCATGCCTCTGGCCATGCCTGGCCCTTACACCTGCAGGCAGGAAGCAGACAAAACAACCACAGAAGAAATGTGGAGCTGGCAAGGTATTCCTCAACAACAGTTTCTCTCCCTGCCTCCAATTATTAGAAAAGTCAAATAATAATATATGATACTTCCATAGAATGGAATTTTGCTTTACTAGTGTTTGGCCATACTTTTACGAAAACTGACTGAGTGTTCTAATCTGTATAAGGCTGGTGTTCACACTTCTTTTACCAGTACATAGAATGTGAAGTGACAATTGAGAAATATACTTTTCAAGACGGTTTCTTAATTTGAAGTAAAATATTGGGACTACCGTAATTCACATACTGTGATGTGCACCATAAGAGAAACTGATCCCTATCATATTGCTAAGCTGCTTCTTACTTTTAAGGGGGATGTAATATGCTTACATCTTAAGGAGATGAGAAAGAACACTTGCTAATTAAGTTATGAAACATTAATGTGCAGCATACCTGAACATGTTCCTTCAGTTCTGTAAAGAAGACAAGAAATCAAAGAGCCAAACAAATACCTGCCATGGTTCCTTGTTGTTGCTGGTCTCCTTCAGTGCTGTAAGTATGAAAGAAAAGGACAATTTGATTTCTAGTTTCACTTTTAAAATGAGTTTCATTATTGGTTGTCGGCTATTGGCTTACTGCTGTGTTGGGTGGGGAATTTAGAAAGTTGCACAATACCAGGCTATAGCCAGCTTCAGATCTTCTCATATCCTGTCTGGAAATTTTTTCACCAGGCTGAACTTCTGCCTAAAGAACTGTGGATTTTTTAAAAAAATCTCACCACAAGAGGGAACTAAATGTAATACTGTGTTCTAATGTTACAATTGACTCAAACCTACAGAAAGTAGACTAATGAAGCAAATATTGTCAAGTATTAGCAAAGGAAAGCTCAATTTTAGGTTAAGCTGCAAAAGTGGTCCTTTCTTCCCTATCCTTCAGGCTCTTCGATATCCCTGATGAATCAGGGAAGAAGCGAAGTAGTGGCTCATTTTGTTGTCGATGAATTCTTAGTGCCTGATGGAGAACTTTAATTATTAAGGCCAGAAGCATCGCCTACTTACAATGAATGCCTTTCTGGAATAAATGAAGAACTTGTGAGGAAAAAAAGATTTACTAATGATGTTATGTAGATTATATTAAATTCAACCATAAATGAATGTTAATTATGAACTTCAAGTGTTGGGTTTTGGGTTTTTTTTATTATATTAAAGATGTTAGTCCATAATCCCTTTTGGGAGAACTTGTGAAGAATGAATTCCAATACATTCCAATCCAATTCCAATCCCAAAGAAGGGCAATACCAAGGAATGTTCAAACTATCGCACAATTGCACTCACATCACACGCTAGCAAGGTCATGCTCAAGATCCTACAAGCTAGGCTTCAACAGTACGTGGATAGAGAACTGCCAGAAGTACAAGCTGGGTTTCGAAGAGGTAGAGGAACTAGAGATCAAATTGCCGACATTCGCTGGATTATGGAGAAAGCAAGGGAGTACCAAAAAAACATCTACTTCTGCTTCCTTGACTATGCTAAAGCCATTGACTGTGTGGATCACAACAAACTATGGCAGGTCCTTAAAGAGATGGGAGTACCAGACCACCTCACATGTCTCTTGAGAAACCTGTATAAGGGTCAAGAAGCGACAGTTAGAACTGGATATGGAACAACTGATTGGTTTAGCATAGGAAAAGGAGTACGACAAGGATGGATATTGTCACCTTGCTTATTTAATTTATATGCAGAGCACATCATGCGAAATGCTGGCCTGGATGAATCACAAGCGGGAATTAAGATTGCTGGGAGAAAGATCAACCACCTCAGATATGCAGACGATACCACTCTAATGGCAAAAAATGAAGAGGACCTAAAGAGCCTCTTGCTCAGGGTAAAAGAGGAGAGTGCAAAAGTGGGCTTGAAGCTCAACATCAAAAAAACTAAGATCATGGCATCCGGCCCCATCCCTCTTTGGCAAATAGAAGGGGAAGTCGTCAAAGTAGTGACAGACTTCATGTTCCTGGGATCCCAGATCACCGCAGACTGTGACTGCAGCCATGAAATTAAAAGACGCCTGCTCCTTGGGAGGAAAGCGATGTCGAACCTAAACAGCATGATAAAAAGTAGAGACATCACCCTGCCAACAAAAGTCCGCATGGTCAAAGCAATGGTATTCCCAGTAGTCACGTATGGCTGCGAGAGTTGGACTATCATGGAGGAGACTCTTGAGAGTCCCTTGGACTGCAAGAAGAACAAATCAGTCAATCCTCAAAGAAATCAACCCTGACTGTTCCCTGGAAGGCCAGATAATGAAACTGAAGCTCAAATACTTTGGCCACCAAATGAGAAGGGAGCACTCACTGGAGAAGACCCTGATGCTGGGAAAGATTGAAGGTCAAAGAAGACGGGGACGGCAAAGGATGAGATGGTTAGACAGTGTCATAGATGCAACGAACATGAAATTGAGTAAACTTCAGGGGACAGCGGAAGACAGGAGAGCCTGGCGTGATCTGGTCAATGGGGTCGCGAAGAGTCGGACTCGACTGTGCGACTGAACAACAAAAGTGAAGAATGGTGGGTGATGACTCTCCCCTGCTGCTGTTTTTCTGATGCCAGTTACCTATCACAGCTGCTATTTATTTGCTCATGGACTAAAATATACAGGTTCTTGTATGCTCCCCCCCCATAATTGGCAGTGTACTGGAGAAAGAGCAGTGAGGAAAGGGTTAAGCCCTGCTCTCATATGCTACAGCTCCAATCCAGCCCCTGCTAGGAGGCTGAAGTTGGTTCCTTATTCGCAGTTCCTTATTCAGTCCTTATTTGTTACTTATTCATGAATTCATCCAGAATTCGTCCAGCAGCTGGCACAAGAACCGTGCTTTGGACCAGGAACCAGGAAATATCTTCTTGAAGGGGAGAGTCCCCTGAATGTGGGGGTATATTATATGTGGTGTTCCAGACCTTATTTTGGGGTTCAGAGCTTTCCAACTCTCTTTCCAACTCTCCTCACTGTTTCTGGATGAATTCATGAATTCTGAGCCTGCCTCTTCTTCCCTTCCAGCAGCACAAGGAGAGGAAGCCACAAAGACCTTTCAGCATCTTCTCCTTTAGCAGAAGTACCTGCTGAGTGAAAAGTGGCGCTGCACATGCTGGCAGCTACCATGCAAAGTATTATTTCTGGGTCTCTGCAAATGGAAAGGAATAGTCACAGTGGGTGCTGCTTGCCCCTTCAGATGGAGATCCTTGGGCAGTTCACGACTATCTCTATGGCCAGGCCTTCTTTTTTTTTAAAACCCCCGGAAGGGTATTTTTATTTTTTCAATAAAACTACAAACTATAAAGAAAAATATAGGAGGGGAAACTACAACTATGGAGAAAGAAAAGGTACCCACACTAACTAAAAACCCAAGAGTGGGAGACCCCCTTCATGTTAAACTAAATATTAGTATTAAAAGTGTTAGTAAAACAATATACTTGTAGAGTTCTTGTTTTTCACATTTTCTGTATTAGTAAATTAGTTATTATGAGAGAACTTTCTGAGCATCTTCTTTACTTCAAAGAGCCATTTATCAGAGTCCTTCTGCCCTTACTTCGGCTTTCTGTCTCTAAAATCATATACAGTTTTCATTGCTCCTGCACCCGCTTCTGCTGCACAGTCCTCATCTGTTCCCGAGGCAGCTGAGTCACTTGACTTAGTTTCTTCCTCCTTAGATTCTTCCCCCGATCCCAGCTGACGTCTCAAAAATTCTTTGGCTTTGAAGATGGAGTCTATCTTCTCCCTTCTATCGTTGATTTTAAAGATGACACCTTCAGGGATCCCCCACCTGTACTGTACTCCGTTTGTTTGAAGGAAAGAAATTAAATCCTTGTAGCTC